TTTTGTACTGGCGGAAACGGGCTTCCATATAAAATAGTGGCTTTTGTCATGACAACAATTTTACAACATTTGTAAATTATTAATGAAATGTAACAGATCGAGTATCAACATATATTGTAACATTTATTCCAATAGCGTAGTAGTGGTTTTCACTGGGAAAGCATTATTAGTTCAGCTGAAGTCTCTGGAAAATTAAATAAATTCAACTCAAAGCATATCTGTATTAATATTCACATCCATATGTCACATAATTGGCTAATGCTGCCACACTAGATGGTAAGCTGGTAAATGGACATGCAGCATTTTGAGGCCCGCTATATGAGTCCATCAATTTAAAATGAGTCATATTTCCTTCCTGCTTTTACCAACTTAAGTTCTAATAGCTGCAGCTATTCAAGCTTTTGAACAGTGAGTCAGTGGCTGCTGCTGCTCCCTACTGGAAATTAGACTACTATAAATCAGTGTTGTTAAATCTACTCATGCAGAAAGAGTCAGTGTGCATATTCATAGATGTCTTGATCATTATTGATTATAGTGGGACATTAGCGTGATATTCTCAATTAGCTGACTGTGTTGGCCTTTACAGTATTTGGGAACATGCATTTAGCAGTGGACTGAACTTCCTGAATTGTGGAGAAACTCTGGTTGCTCCTACTTGTTGAAAAAGTCTGGCATGTTGCTTTGCATAAAGGTAATGAGGAACCCACCCCCATGATTATGGTTTGTCTGTGTAAAACCTCAGTCAAATATAAGAATTGACCTTTAATCAAACACAAATTAATTCATTACTAAGGGATTATAAACATTTAGAAATTGAGAAAAAAACAGGTTTATTTAAACTTTCAGAAAACTCTCAAGGTTTTAATGGATTTCAATGGTCCTCAGCATGAATCACAGTACTATTAAAAGACATGAAATCCTTCAAGTAAAGCAACAACAACAAAACCCTTCAGTAACCCTTCAAGCTTCCATGTTTTCCACTTAAGCTTTTTATGCTCAAAGGGTTCAATCTTAATAAGAAAAAGCAGATCACAGAATGAGAAGACAACGCTGACAATTCATGGCAGGACAGAGTGGGTTGAAGAATACGGTGACTTTGTGACAGCCCTGTGCTGGGGTGGCTCTTGGCCAGATGATCAGGGACAGGCTGACCTCCCACGCAGAATTAGTCATCTTTTTACACCATGTATTTTCTTTCCCACTAAAGACTCTTATTCAACCTTCTAGCAACCTTTCCTCACGCTGCTGTTGGGCCGCCCAGGCTTCCCACACACAGAGCGAGCAGCTTCTAGACATAATCATTTATTGTTCCACAGAGATGGAGATCAAGGGGTTGTTAAATACATAGCAAAGCTGCTAATTTCCACTGTTATTAGCATTTTATTTAACAAAATTAAAGAGAAACTTGGAAATAGACTAATTCTTAATTAAATACAACAAACTTGTCATTGTCAAACTAGACTCAGACCCAAACTTCACCAGTTACATCAAGGGCATAACTAAATCAGATTCTTAACATCTCAAACAAATAGGAAGACTCAGAGGTCTAATTCATGCCATCATCTCCAGCAGGCTGGAATGTTGTAAAGGTCCTCTGCCTAAAAGACAGTTGGACAACTTCAGCTCGTTCAGACGCTGCTGCCAGAGTTTTAACCAGAACCAGGAGAACGTAACACATCACTCTTGTTCCTCAATCTTTACACTGGCTACCAGTTAGCTAGAGAATTTATTTTGAAGTGCTTCTGCTGGTTTATAAATCAGTGCATTGGGGCATAAATACATTTCTGATCTCCTTGAAGAATACAGACCCAGCAGGGCTCCGAGGTCAGAACCAAACAGGGTGACGCTGCTTTCAGCTACTATACCAAACACAGATGGAACCAACTTCCTGGTGACCTTAAACGTGCCCCAGGTCTAGTCACTTTCAGGTCTCCACTGAAAACTGGGCTGTTTTCCGGTGCCTTTGACTGGTTTCTATGCTGCACCTTCTGCCCTGTACCTGCTAGATCATTGTGTGTTTCAGACCTTTTACTTTGTCTATTTGTTTTTAATCTTTATTTTAGGTATTTTGTCCCATTTTAACAATGTTTTATCTTCATTTTGTCTTAACTGGCTTCATTCTGGTTTTAATGCCTATTGTGTTTACTGCTGTTACTGTTTTTCCTGCCTCTCTGTATGAAATGTGCTATATAAACAAAGTTGCCTTGCCTTAGCTGTTCACTCCTCAGTCTTATTATTTCCACCTTAAGGAGGAAGGGACACTGTCTTTATTATACTGTTGTTTGCTTTTCTCCTTGTCGTCTGTCAAGCCAGATGTGGCAGGAGACAGTACCATAGATCAGTGGTGCCACGACTTGTCAGACATGCTTGTGCGCACCCAGTTTAGTCAAGCACACACTACACTTGAGGTTAGACATGGTGTGCCATGTGACATAGCTCTAGCAGGCTGCAAACCTCCATCAGCCTGGCTTTTCAGAAGAACTTCCATTAAAAAAAAAAAACAAAAAAAAAACATTCAAATCATGCAGAAAGTTTCTCACCCACCTACAGAGCGTCTTGACAGATGTAAATACTGGCAACCTAAACCAAATCAGTCATCTTTTGTTGTCATTTCTGTTCAGTTCTAATGTAATCCAAGTTGATGAATAAAGAGAGAAAAACAGAAATGCACAATGAGAAGCAGACACCGAAATACAGGCTTCTGTTCTCCCAGTCTGGATCTTATATACTTGTCCTGTACAGCCACTCCTTCCCCAGCGCAGCCCCAGTCGCATGTCTGAAGCCACAGCTTCAAAGCCAGACGGACAGGGGGAACGTGCAAGACCAAACTCACTAAACAAATCTCCTCATCTTCTGTTTATTTTTATTGTGCCTGATTTTTTGGTTTGGTTTTTTAAACAAAAAAGTCCAGGAATAATAAGAAACCTATGAGAAGCAAAGGAATGTTAGACTATGATAACAACTTGGCATAAGGTAGATGTAGACAAATAGGATCAGTGGCACTAAAAGAAAGGAGGGGACAATGACAGACTGCTGTGACTCAGCCTTTCCCTGCTCACGGAAATAAACAACTAAATACATCATAGGCACTGACATGTTTTTCCTGCTCTTAGGTAGCAGACAAGCCAGACAAAAACATTAACCCAAGCAAACAGTTCATACTGTATTACTGCAATTTTTCAGTCAGCTCCTGTGGATGTCTGATGGCGTGTGGTTTTCACTGGCTGATGGCTTTTGAGTCATATCGCTGTTCACTGCTGTAGGCTATGCAAACAAATGCTGGACACCAGTGCCAACCAGCTGACCATGCAGTCAGAGTATATGAGTATCAATGTCAGCAGTAGGCGTTTACGTGACCTGAGCACCTGTTGTGTTAAGCACCGGCTCAAACACGGGGCATCTGCAGAGTCATACACTAACACCCATTGTAAACATACTGCACCACAGATTCTCCGTGACAGGCTCTGCCCTTGGGACAGGAAATTGGGTGCTTATGGCAGCTGACGTGTGATGTAAACACATTCAGAGCAGGGTGCAGAGGAGGAAAGGAAGAGATGAGGTGCCAAGGAGGATGGAGGAGCCTGGAGTCAAGTTCTCACCACATCTGTACACTGGGTACAAGTACACTTGGTACTTGCACCGTGCCAAGCACACTCTCATGCTGCCATATCCGGCAAAGCCTTTCCACAGTGAAAAATGTGACTCACATCACTGCAAATAAACTACTCAAACACCACCACCTACCCTGCCATTAATAGCTGGTAATGATTCTGAGAGAACATCAGACAGACTAGAGTTTTTATGACCGACACAGTCAAGTTAAAACAGATCTGTGGATCAAGGTCCCATTAAGTTCCGGGTCTAACTCAGTTTGCTTCAATGAGTAAAATCACGAAACCACAGTATGCTTGGTAATAGTTCCACCAAACGTCTCAGAAGCACACTTTTGCAGTTTTATACAGGCCAGGGTAGCAACACAGACTGTTTTCACTTTAAAAAGTCATAGCGCTGCTTTGTGCTCAGTGGGAATTGTTTCATTGTTCATTACTAAAATGAATGTTAAACAGCTTTATAAAGCCATGAGTCACTGGGATTCTTAACCATATAATGCTGCAATAATCTAGCAAAGTGTATTTTAAGGAGAAACAGTTGCAGTCAAAATTATTCAACCCCATTGGAAATTAGGTGTATTGGCAAAATTTGCAAACTTTCAGCTGTTTGCAATAAACAAATCAAACAAGAACAACTGAAATAGCTCAACACAGTTAATGTAACAAGTGGTTTCTCCAAATTCAGTACAAAATGCAACTTTTAACAGTATTTTTTTATTTATTTATGACAGGCACATTCTTCAAGTTTCTCTGAAGAATGAAAGTTCAGATTCCATGTATTACTGGTCAATCACTTGTAATATTTTGTATGTCATGTTTGCTTCTTACTTGATTTTATTAAGATAAATGTAATGGTGATATAATTCTAAATGGTGACAACTATTTAGATAACTGTAGATTATAAAGCAATTTTCCAACATAAATCTATGGAGGAGTACTTCCACTCAAGGTGAAAATCACTGGGTATACAAATGGGCATTATGACATATTTATCAACAAAAACAGAAGGTTTCATTTGTTCTTTGCTACAGTAAAGTGATTATAATCTACAACATCTACAGATTGGTGTCAAATGAAAGGAAAAACAAACTGAGCGAGTGTCTCAGTGAGGTGCTGGGCCACCACGCACCAGAGCAGATCTGGTGCTCCTTCATACCGACTCTCCAAGTCTCTGAACTCTACTGGAGGGATGAACACCATTCTTCCAAAGATGTTCCCTGATGTGGTGTTTTGATGATGGCAGTGACGACTCTGTCTCATGGGTGTTCAGCTGGGTTGAGACCTGGCGACTGTGAAGGCCACAGCATATGATTCACATCATTTTCATCCTCATCAAACCGTTCAGTGACCCCTCGTGTCCTATGGATGGGGGCAGTGCCATCCTGGAAGAGGCCACTCATTTATTCAGGCTCTTCCTTTTGTTTGACACCTACCGATTTTTATTTCCCACATATCAGACATACTGACAGATTATTGGTTTTCTTTGTGAAAACATTCTACAGCAGACCATATACATCAAAGTACCAAACCAATCAGGCTATGTAATAGGCCCTGTTTGACCCAAGATATTAAAATAGCTCCTTTGTTCCATGTGTTGTCTCCATAATGGTTACAATTCAAATCCAATTATAAAAAAAGGTCAGTGTTGCTAGCAGGAAGACATTTTTTGGAAAACATCCTCTTTTACTAAAATTTAAATAAAAAAATGATTATTTAAAGCAAATCTTTTGGCTGTGAAATTAAAAACTTCACACTTCAGATGGGGAGAAAAGAGGATTTATTAATCTCTTCTCTTTCCCCCCGATACAGTGAGCCAAAACATAAACCAAACATCAGCTGGGAGAGCGCTCCGCTGCCTAATAATTTAATCTCGAACGCTGTACATTACTCACTGTACTGTAGTAAATACTGAGCTCTTCAAAATAACAGCCACTAGTGGGATATGTGAGACACATTGTGAGAAAGATGGACATCTGGCGGGACGGGCTGCGTCACACTGGCCTCTGTTGCCAAGGAGATATGATGGGTGGAAAGTAGAAGGAGGATCTGACAGGAGAAGCCTAGTAGCTGGAGGCATATAACAACACTCAGAAGATCATACTCACATGAGACAATGTGTTGCAACCTGGGGAAGATGGGCAAGTTCTCGAGATGAGCTGAGTTGACAGTACACTGCTGTCAGTTAGCTTCTTCTTTGGTAGCCAAACAGTAACAGTGTGGTTATTTATTGATTTATTTACAGACTTCTCCTCCATCAATAAATAATGAGGATGGCGAGCAGTCGTGACTAGCACTGCATGCATTTGGGAACTCATACCCCTCAGCCTTAAAAACAGGCTCATAGCTTCAGCACAGCCCAGCATTCATCACTAACACTCTCACAAGAACTAAGTTTCTGGTTTATTGTTTCAGAAAATGACTAGAAGTGAGAAAGAGAAGGCACAATGCATTACATTTCTACTATCCACATTTCAGTAGAATACTGTATATCCAGTAAAGTGATTGATACAATATGTCTATGAATGTCTCTGGAACACGGCATGAAGGGAAACTCATCTGAAGTGTCCCACAATATACAGTTCTTCATCCAAGGGCAACTACATTTGACTAAAGCCACCCACATTAACAGACACTTTAACTCCATACAGTGAACTCAAGGCCATTTCTCTTTCTAACAATGATAAAAGCCGTGTGTGCATTACAGAAAGGTCAACCCGTATTCCCTGTGCACAGCACTTTGTAAATTTAAATGGCATGAACATACATGAGCTCAAACACATTTGAGCTCATGTATGTTCATGTGCATGCAGAAATGTCAACAAAACAATGAATGTGGTTTGATCTGTTATGCTGTAAAATAAGGGATTATTTATGGCTGGTAATCCGTTTCAGGAGGGGCTGAGGGCTCCTCTGGCTTTAGCTCTGCTCGTTGATACACCCTCTGGATAGATGCCCGCTCTGCTCCTCTGTGCTGATCTCCGTCCAGCTGTCAGCAGAGGCCGAGGCACCGGTAGGAACCAGACGAGCTAAAGGCAGCGGTGTCCAGGAGGTGTCATTTGTCTTGACAGCCACAGGGGGCGCACTGCTTCTGCACACACTGCTTGGCAGGAGGGGCTGGTTCTGAGCCTTGTTTCTGCAGGCAGGCAGTGGGGGTAGCATTAACACTTGGAACAGTGACAGTACCTACCTCAGACAGATTAGTGGTAATGTGGAGCAATATGGCTCCTTGCAGAGTGTATTTGCAGGGGAGCAACTGACTGAATATCTAACTGATTTATATTATTTTTTTTAAATAAATGAGAAAACCTATGATGCATGTCAAGGTCAAGGTCAAGGTCATTTTAACAGAGATGTCCAGATACATGTCTTGTTGTCATTGTACCACTGGGTGTCAGTGTGGTGACATACTGACTAGAAAAATGCTGAACACAGTTGGTTTCACTATTTATAAGCTTTTCTTCCCTCTCCTCTCTCTTTCCTTTGTCATTCATTCTTTTATCCCGCCCTCCGCTTACCTGAGTCTGCCTGCGCGTGGGCCGCACAGGCTGGTTGTCAGGGTGGTTGGGCGTCCACGGCCCCAGGCTCTGATTGGAGTAGAAGTCCATGGGGTAGACGTCCTTCCAGCTTACCTCCTGCAAAGCAACAGCTGCCTGACAGATACATAGATGGACACAAAATGACAAACCATGTTAACAGAAAATAAGTACAAGAAACCTGACAGCCTAAAAGTGCAACACCGGGACCCTAGGAGGTGGTATGGCAGACACAGGCTGCAGAAAACCACAAAGTGACGAGAAGACGCAACTGGCTGACTATACAGATAAGACAGGTGTCATAATATTAAGCTAGGATAACAGGCAGAGTTGTCATGTTATCCCTATGCAGTAGCACTGCATGACACAACAGCTGTTAGAGGAGAGCAACAACACTGGCATGACAGTGCTGTGACAAAAGTGCAGACTGCTCCATATGGAAGAGCAGTGCCTGTGAATATTGATTGCAAATGAAAGACAGAGCAGCTGAGTGACTGAACAGATGAATAAACAAACCCGCTGAATGAAAGAACAAACATCTGATTGTTCATTGATTTGTTTATCCAACTGCTCATCCATCTTTCAAACTATTTTGACTACAAGACACCCTCAGCCTCATTCATTTAGATATGGAAATACTGAAATATGATGAGAAAACCAGTCATATATTAATATGACTGGTTTTCATAAAATTATAATATAAAGAAATCATTTGACCCAGAGATCTTAGGCCACCGGAAACATGCATAACGCAGCTTCGGGGTGATAACAATGTTGTGCTAGTGCAGGGGTCCGAAGAGCCACAGGTCCCTGTTCTAGTGGGACAGAATGTGTCATTCTTACACAGTTTAAATGTAGTCTCTGTATGGCGTATACCAACAGGCCATAGTGTTCACTCAGATACTGAACCTTTTAGACTTTCAGATGAACAACAAATATTAAAAGATAAAAGCTGTAGAGATTCAGATATGAATTTTCTGGCTCCAAACAACTACATATTAGGCCAAATAAAGTTTATTTTTTCTATTTTTCCAGACTGTTACATTGCAGAACACCATGTGTTTATATTTATATAAAAGGTGATTTGTGTGTGTCTGTCAGGTATAACTAAACAATAACAGAATTTTCTTCCTTCAGATCCAGCTACTAAAACAATATATTTGCCAACTACATCCCACAGTATTTCTTCCTAAACAAACACACAGACTGTACACTGGGGTAAATCTGTCCTTGACTTAAGTTTGAGCCTTTCCTTTCCCCAAACATCTTTGTGCTAGTCCTCTTCATCTTCTCCTCTTTGCCCTTTTTCCTGCTGCCTCGTCTTCAGCTATTACCCGCCGCTCTCCCCTCTCACACCAACTGCCTCTCTCTGTGGAAGCTAGCTTCTCTTGCTAATCCCTGCTCTGACAAGAGAGCCAAATGTGTCTTATTGACTATAAATATAACATGAGACGCACTGAAAATAAATCCACCACCCCACCCCCCAACCCGCCCTGCTCACACTACCCTCCCATATCTCATTCCTCTTCATCTTTATCCTAAATGCCACAGTGAAAAGCCCAGTGCACTAAGACGTACAGGCAAACACTCACAGGTATGAGATGAATTAAGACTTCTCACAACTGTACATAAGCAAACATACCGACATGAGTTAAAGCGCAAAGTATTAAAATGCATCTGTTGTTCCCAGACAGCTGGTGAGCAAAGCCAGCTGTAACACAAAGGGGTTAAGTAAAATGATGCTTTCCTCTCAAAGCACCATTATAGACTTCAGCAAAAACAATACAAAATAATCACTTCTTTGTCTAAGGTGTGTGCTATCATTATTCTTAATGTCCTCATTCAGAAAGCAGCACATGTGGTGCACAAAGATATGTAGCTGGTGAAAACCAGCGACTATTTCAAAACACAGTCCCAATAATATATTCAAGATGAGCAATTCCCCTCAGCAGTCATTTCAGAAGGATTTAAATCAGCAGCACATCTTTGAGGAGAATCGCTGAATGAAGTAATAGTTGCCAAAGCCAACACAAAGCAAGCCTGTGTTTTTTTTTGTTTTTTTTTTTTGCAGCCTTGATACACCAGCTGCAGTGGCACACAAACAAACACTCGCTTTGAAACGGAGCTTTATGGGTTGCTGTCCGATCTATCTCTCCCATCAGAAAAACAAGACAGCTGCAGGAGGAGAGGGACTGTGTGGCCATGCAGCCATTAGGGGGGGCTAGTCTGCTGCTAATGCTGGTGTATGTGTGTGTGCGCTTTGGAGCAGGGATAGAGAGAGAGAAGGAAGGAGGGAGAAGAAGAAGGGGGAGGAAGAGGCAAGCTACTCCATCTCAAGCACCAGCAGGCCTGAGTAGTCTCATACAAACTCAGCACCCTTTTTCAAACACTTCCCCATAGTTAATCCTGAAATGGTTCCTTTTTGGACGCCTTCAGCCCATCAGATATCTTCACAAGGTTCAAAATGAAAGTTTATGAGACATCATTTTTGGATGTCCTCTGTACATTTGGACATTCATTAGACATCTTCACTACCCTTTGCCACACTTCTGTAACACTTTATCCAGTTTTACAAAGGTGTGGTCAAAGGACCTCTTGCCTTATTAGCTGTGAAGTACAAAAATGAGGCAGGAGTAACTGACCAGCACCTAACCCACCCGCACTCCTACTGTGGTAAGGCTAATGTCACAACAACAGCATACGTTTGCAAAATAGCTAGCAAATTAGCTGAATGTCCATGGAATGAATGAAAATGAGCTAATGTGACATAAGTATTCCTAGTTACTATTGTCCAAAATGCAGCGTGAAGACTTAGCTTGGACATCCACTGACTTCCAGCAAAGGTTCAGTATCTGGATGTCTTTTGAGGACCTTTTTTGGAGGTCAGTAGATGTCCAAACCAGACTCAAAACATTGGGATATATTTAGGACCCATTTTGGATGTCCTCAGATGTTCAAAATTAGTTAAATGTCTACAAGTTTAAACTGGCCTTAATTTGGATGTCCAGCATAGGCTCCGTATCTGCATGTCTTTTGGGGACCTACAATGGAGCTCAGTAGACAAACAGGTCTAAAACATATGCCAATGTTTGAGTCACATTAAACTTTCATTCTGAACATTATGAGAATGTCTGCATGTACAGAAGACATCAAAAAATAAGATGCTGCAAAAACTTTCATTCTGGCTACTTAGTGGGTCACTTCATGACTAACACAGACCTCAATTAGACATCCTTGGCATGTTGGTGCACGTCACAGATGTCCAAAACAAGCCCAGAACAGATGCCCAAATATCCAACCTAATGTGTGTGTCCACAGACGCAGAGAGGTGGTCCGTGACAGAAATCAAAACAATGAACTTAGACGTGCAAAGACATCCAAAATGAGTCATATCTAGACGTGGCGTTTTGAACCTCTACCGCATGTCTCACAGACGTACACAAAGGACGTACACACAACCGATGTGATACAGAAGTCACATACACATCTCTTCAACATTGGGTTTTTGCTGTACTGTTAGGAAGGTCTGATGTCTGTCTCTGATCAGTGAGAGACAGCCACGATCTTGCTCAGAGACAATGAGATGCATGTTTACCTCATATGGAGTCAACAGTGGTTTGGAGAAGGCTGTGCCCCAATCAACAGAAAGGCGTGGACAAGCAATCTGGACCCACCTGTAGGAATGACAAAGTGCAAATTTAGGTTCAAATATACATCCATAAGTAAGTATGAAACAGAAGCAGGCAGAGTGGCCGAGGGACCATGAGCCCTTTAGATAGGCAGGGCACACCTGTGACCGCACGTTGCATGCAGATATGTGATGCAATGGGTTGTACCGAGAGACTCCCTCTACCTGATCTCCAGCATCTGAAGGAGAGATCTGTCCTGATTTGCAGCAGCACTACAGACAGCCACACTACACTGTCTGAATAGATAGCCAGCCACTAAAAGGAAGGCTGAGGGGAGAGGGTACCATGTTTGTAGTGGTGGTGCTGTGGAGTGGAGAGGGGTAGAATGGTTGTAGGAGGCATAAACAGAAAAACAGGGAAAAAAGAGAACAGAGGTTAAAAAAAAAATAAGACGAAATGCTGTTAAAGAAAAAGAGGGAGAGGTTAGGTGAGCGTGAATAAAAAAACCGCACCAGCCCGGTCTCCATGGAGGTAGCCTACATAGCTGGCAGACAGGGTGGTGGTGGTGGAGGGGGGTTAGGGTGGAACAGTGGGGGGGCTGCGTATGAGCGAGATGGGGAGGGGTGTGAAGAAAAAAGAGAAAAGGACAGATATACAGCGACGGGGAGAAAAAAGCAATGGAGACAAAAACAAAGGGGAGGGAGGTGAAGACACAGCAGCAAGAAGAGAAGAGAGAACAGTCAGATGAGAGGAGGAAGATTGGCAACCGAGAAAAGTGTTTACGCTGGAAAATGCATGAGAGAGAAGTGAGGAGGGTGTGGATGTAAACAGCTGGAGGGAAAAATGAACAACAGGGAAAATGGAGATGGAGAGAAGCGGCTGGGGCTACATAGGTTAACTTTCACAGATCAATGCTATCCACCGCCTCATCTCTACTGGGGGAGTGGACCCTCCCCTGTCCCTAATACCAATGATGCGACTCCAACAGAAATATTGACACATATGAATTTAGCTGCAGCATATAAAAGCTTCAGAGATAACACTAGGTAAATGTCAATAAGAACAGGCCAGTCTAACATTCAAGCAAAGGAGGACAGGAGAGTACAGAGGTATAGATAAAGACGCATGAAGAAAAACAAAGGGTGACCATAAACGCTTGAATATATTCATGTCTGCACTACTGCATCAACTCTCCCATCTGTCTATTCTCCATTTTAGAACTTTCACAGGGTTTCTCAGCTTCAGAACTGATTGCATCGTTGATTCTCGCTCTACTCTGCTTTCTGTCAGACATATTCCACCCCCTCTGGGCAAACACACTGGCATTTTCTCATTTTCAAAATAACACTTGCTTTCTTTTTTTAAAGATGTATCCCCCCCCTCCAAAGACTAAATCCATGCCCATCCTCCTAATTTGAGAGTCAGCTGAGTCAGAGATATGTGGACAGAGCATCAGTCTCCTCAGAGTTGGGTTTGCTGAGTTTAGGTTAGATGAAGTGAAATCTGAAAATATGACCTTTAAGTCCATCAGCTGTTATTCAAAACTGGGGCTAAATGCCACACATGTATCAAAACCGCCTTAGGCCATACACCTGGGAAGAAAGAGCTAATGAGTCTGACAGCCTGCATGTGTGTGTGTACATATGCATGTGAATAGACGTACAGTATGCGTGCTTCTGATGTATGTACAGTCATGGCCAAAAATATGGACCCCCCTGCATTTCTGTCAGATAACACACTACTCCCAGAAAAATGTTGTTTCCAACATGTGAAACTACTCTGAAGACTTCATCTTTAGACTTTGGTTTCTGTACTGGCCCATGTATAGTTGTGGCAAAAAATACTGGCCCCCCTGCATTTCTGTCAGATAACTCACCACTTCTCTCAGAAAGTTGTTGCAAACACAAATTTTTTTGATATTCTCATGTTTATTTCTTTTGTTTGCATTGGAACAACACAAAAAGCAGAGGAAAAAAGCCAAATCTGATCCATTCCACACAGAACTCCAAAAATGGACTGGACAGAATTATTGACACCATCACTTTAATATTTGGTAGCACATCCTCTGAACCTCCACCATGTTTGACACAAGAACAGTCAGATCTCTGGAGATGGACTTGTAGCCTTAAGAATGTCCATGCTTTTCCACTATTGTGGTTCTCAAACCCTCCTCATCGTCTTTGTCTTCTTCTCTCTATGCTCAGTGTGGTCCACATGGCACAAAGATTGAGTCAACTTTTCTCTATTTTAAGTGGTTCCCAGTGTGATTTCCATGTCACCAGCACCTGTTGGTTGCTACAGGTGAGTTTCATTACAAACTAAAGGAGCATCACCTGCTTGGAATACAACTATTTCTGATGGTTTTGAAAAGGTGACAATGATTCTGTCCAGTCCATTTTTGGAGTTCTGTGTGGAATGGATCAGATGTAGCTTTTATGTGTTGTTCTAATGCAAACAAAAGAAATAAACATGAGAATACCAAAGATGACAATATTTTTGGCCACAACTGTATCTGTATATAGTGTAGTCTATGTACAGTATACGCACATCTGCAGTATGAAGGGAGAAAACATGAAGAGTGGTTTAACAAAGAGGGTGGATAAGAAGCAAACCAAGACTCTTCTGACTGAATCCTTGAAACCAGCACTGAGGGGAGGGTCTGAGAGGAAAGTAAGACAGACAGCATGAGAGTGGAAGCAGAGAGAATCCCCCCATAAGGAGCAGTAGCTGACTGACATGTTGAGCCAGAAGGAACTTTCCTAATATTAGCACAGATACTGATTGAATGGTGCAGTTCAGTAAAAAGCATGGAGCAGTACCAGGTATTGCCTCAGAACGAAAGCCAAATTGCCTTTCTAGCCCTTATCCGGCCTTCAATCTGGCCAGCACTAGAGAACTCACATCACTGAGGCAGTGAAAGAAAGAGAGAACTGGAGGAAAGAAGAGTGGGAGACGCTTGTTGACAGAGGAAAAATAATGAGCTTTTGTCTCTGGCAGTTGAGCTTTGTTTTACAAATTATGAGTGAATGAATAACAGTTTTTGTGGAAACCCTGTGTCTTCAGTTCATTTCCAAAGGATCCGCTTACTTTAAAAAAAAAAACAGAACCCTTCAACATAAAGAAGGACCAGAATTAGGGGAGCAGGATGCAGGGCTGGTCAGGGCTATTGCTCTGATATTTATAGGTAACACCATGTGACATTTAGTGCTGCGATGCGATGCGAGCTCCAGCCCAGGCTTTGCTACATTACCTGCTGTGGCCCATTACACCCTGACACTGTTAGGAGGACCTCCACCTGCATGGCTTCACTTCAATTACTCTCACAGTCTTGAGCTGCCAAAGGCAGGAACAACTAACCTTTTAGCACAGGACGAAGTGTTCGCCTTCGATGGCAAACTTAACTGAAAGAACACAAACTATTTCATTTGAATAGAATCAAAATTTTCAATTCAACCTGAAAGATAAAAGGCTGCAATGCACTGGGTGGCATTTGCGGTCTAGTTGAGATGAGTGTGTGTGGTGTGCAGATATCTGTACAATAGCTTAAAATCTGCTTGGGGACAGCCTAATTACACACTTAAGAGCATATGCTAATTGAGTGTTTCTTTTTATATGAGCAAGTATGTGTGTGTCTAATGACAAAGAAAGCCTGGGGGTGGGCTCTGCACAGCGTGCTGAGCACTAATGCATCTTCTGCTTCTGAACTGTCTATCTCTCAGTCTACCTCTCTCTCTTTCCC